GGCACACCCCTTCTGGGACACCCAGCCGGTGCCTTCCATGAGCTCGGAGTACACTCAGGAGAGCCATTCAGACTTCTTTGTTGGCGGCTGGCTAGAACGAGGGTTGAGGACGACCATGGCAATAACGGCGGTTGCGATGAGTCGGCGACGAGGCATTATTCTGTTGAGTCAGAGTGAGGGTGCCGAACGGTCATTCATTGTTCCTGGTGCGTGGCCGAAGTGAGAATTCGTGGTGAGGATTCTGCTTGTTGCGACGTTGCTGTTGTTGTCGTCGTCGTCGTCGCCAACGTCGTCGCTGTCGTCGTCGTCGTCGTCGTCGTGATTGTTGTTGTTGTTGTTGTTGTTGTTGTTGTTGTTGTTGTTGTGGTTGTTGTGGTGGTGGTGGTGGTGGTGGTGGTGGTGGTTGTTGTTGTTGTTGTTGTTGTTGTTGTTGTTGTTGTTCAATTCTCATTTCTGAAGAATAATTCTTGTTGATCCCCCCCACTGGTGCATACTGATTTTTCTCAATCAAAGTGTGCCCCTCGACGCTCGCACCTTGTTTTTTGACAGGGAAAGTCTTCCTGCTCAAACTGGGCCCCTGGCCCCTGGGTTACAACAACAATGGCTCCCGCTTTAGACTTCCTCACAATTTAGCCAGGACCCCCGCTCCCGCCCGAGACTTCCTCGCATTTTATTCAGGAATCGCGCTCTCGCTTAGACTTTCCTTACAATTTATTCAGAAGTCGCTCTCCTGGCGCTCTGGAGTCGCGCGCTGGAGACTTGCTTGCAACTTACTGAAGAAGCCTTGCGTTGGAATTTCCTGCAATTTGCCCAAGCGCCGCGCTCCCGACACCCAGGCACCCAGGAGTCGCGCCCGTTGTGGCCCCATGTGCATGCCTTTCGTGGCCCCGCTGTCGCCATTTGTGCCCCCCTCACTGTCCTACGTGGCCCAGTTGCTACCCTTAGTGGCCCCATAGTTGCCTTCTGTGGCCCCGCATTATCTGCACTTCGTGGCCCCCGCTCGCTCGCGCTCTTCGTGGCCCCATACGCATTCCCTTCGTGTCCCCGCTGTCGCCCTTCGCGGCCTACTTCGTGCCCTTCTTGGCCCTGCTGTCGTTCTCTCTCGCTCTCGCTTTCGCTCGTCGTCGCCGTCGTCGTCGTCGTCGCCGTCGTCTTCGACGTCGTCGTCGTCGTCGTCGTCGTCGTCGTCGTCGTCGTCGTCGTCGTCGTCGTCGTCGTCGTGGTCGGTCCCCTGTCCGTCCCTCTTGGGGTCGGGTCGACGGTCCGCGGCCGCCCCGCCGATCAGCGCTGCCGCTGGCCAGGCCGACGGTCCGCGGCCGCCCCGCCGCTTGCCGGGGCCCGGCCTGCAGGGAAGAAAGGTATACCCCCAAAAGGGGTTCGATCGAAGACGAAGAGGGGGTAATCGAGGGTTTGGGAAATACGCGTTATTGGACACTCGAGCATATAAGGGCGAAGAGTCTCAAACTTATTATTATTATTATTATTATTACTATTGTTGTTGTTGTTGTTGTTGTTGTTGTTGTTGTTGTTGTTGTTGTTGTTGTTGTTGTTGGTGTTGGTGTTGTTGTTGTTGTTGTTGTTGTTGTTGTTGTTGTTGTTGTTGTTGTTGTTGTTGTTGTTGTTGTTGTTGTTGTTGTTGTTGTTGTTGTTGTTGTTGAATGTTAATTTCTAAACACTTATTATTGTTGGACCCGTTATAATTAGGCGCCCTGACGCTCTTGCCTCGGCGCTGGCTGCATTTTCATTGAAAATGATGCGCACGCTCGAGCGGCTTGGGGGACCGTCAAAACCGGCCCCCCAACAACAACAACGCTCCCGCTCGAGACTTCGTTTTGTTATTCAAGGCCGGTGCTCTTGCTCGCCTCCGAAAGCCTCCGTCCCAACAAAACCAGCACTCCCGCTCGAAGCTTCCTCCCGTTTTACCTTGGACTGGCGCGCTGCTCTTTCTCTCATCGGCGCCGCCCCCAGCAACAACAACGCTCCCGCTCGAGACTGCCGCCCTTTTTTACTCAAGACGGTGCTCCTCCTCGCCGCCGAAAACCGCTGCACCGACAAAACCAGCGCTACCGCCCGAGACTTCCTCCCGTTTTACGTTGGACTGGTGCCTTATTCTCTTTTGACTTGGCGACGTTCCCAGCAAGAGCAACGCTCCCGCTCGAGGCTTCGTCCATTTTTTACTCAAGACGGTGCTGTTCCTCGCCGTCGGCAGCCCCCCCGATTGTTCTTCGCGCCGCCGTCCCACGTGGCCGTGAAAAAGGGCCTCGTGTGAGCCCTGGTGGGGCGTCTTGAAGTGCGCCCCCCTGAGCTGTCTGAGGGGGGTGCCGTGGGTGGCCCCGCCGGCCCACTGGGCGTTGGTAGTCTAGAGCGTTTCCTCTTCCACCTCCCTTCTTCCCTTTCGCCCCCCCCCCCCGCCCCCCCCCTGGACCTGGGCGGGGCGCCCCGCGGGCGATCAGGGCGTTCAAGATGGCCCAAGATTGCCCCGAGAGGGCGTCAGAGGGCCCAGGGCGAGCTCCAGGATGGCTCAGGATAACGCAAGATGCTTCGCGATGGCTCCCAAGATGCTCCGAGCCGCCCCAAGACTGCTCCAATGCGGCTCTAAGATGCCCAAACAAATCACCGAGGATGCCCCCAAGAGGCCAACGTCCTTCAGAAACAGGGGGACATCAGTGCTTTTTGATTTCTCGTCTTTTCGCTTCCGATCGAGGCCTTGAGATAGCTCTGGGATGGCCCGAGGGAGCCCTGGAAGGACCCGGGGGGGCCCCGAGAACGCCTGGGGGCGCTCCGAGAGCGCCCCAAGAAAGCTCAGAAAAGGCGACTTGGGGCGCCCCCGAGAGGCGAAGCTAGTTCAGGGAGCCCCCTTATTTTATCGATGTCCTCCAAGAAGCGCCCGGGAGGCCCGGGAGGCCCCGAGATGGCCCAACTATTGCCCCAAGAGGCCCCAGGAGGCCCCCAGGAGACCCCCGAGAGGCCCCCCACCCCCCCCAGGCGCCCGCGACGTTCGAGAGCCCCCCAGGACCGCCAAGAGACTTTCGCGACGCCAAGAGGCCACCAAGAAGCGCCGAAGAGATATCCCAAGAAGCTCCCAGAGGCATCCAAGAGACCTCTGCACATTTTGCTTGCCCTCCTCCTCCTGCTCCTCCTTCTTTGTCCTGCGCCGTCTCTTCCTCCTCCTCCTCCTCCTCCTCCATTTCCTCCTCCTCGTCCTATTCATCCTCCTTCTCCCCGCTCCCTTATCCATCCATCCGGCTTCTTCCTTCTCCTCCTCCCTCCTGTGCGTGGTTCGGCAGTCCCCCTCTTTGCTCCCGCGCCTCCCTGATCACCTCAACTCGCCTGGACATCGTTTCTGGATGGGCTGGTGGGGATGCGCGAAGCGTCTAGAATTTCATGATCGCACCTGGTCCAGTAAGTGACGTGGATGCGGAGGGGGCGCCTGGCCCCATTTCTCACATCGCACCCCGTTGACGTTTTTTTGAATCTTGCCGAATTCATCGGGCTGGCCCCGGGTTGTCCAGGGGCCCCGTGGCCTTGAAGTTGGCCGAGCTTTGTTTGCTCCTGGAGGGGGCGGAGATGCGCGGGCGCTTCCGTCTCGCCATCCGTCCGTAGTTGTATTGGCTCAAACTGGGCCTGGTGATTCGAGATGTCGTGCGATGCGGCTCTGCGAATTTCTTGGCAATCCTGGTTCGCATTCTGAGAGTCGCGGGGCAGGCTGCCCAGCCTCGGGGGGCGCGAGCGCCGTCGCGTTCAATGGCGGCCACTCCAGCGACTCAGAGGTCGGACTCCATGGCCAAGAGGGTGATGGCGCATGCCCGCAGGTGCGTGACGACGCCCGTCCCGCAGATCCGCGGGGTTTCGAGGTTTCGAGGCGGCCGAGGCGCTCTTCTGGCTGCGACGCGATATGTGAAGGAGGCGCCGTCGCTCGTCGACCAGTCGGCGGAGAACCGCGGCGTCCTTGGGCGCGGCGCCGACGCCTCGGGTCGGAGGCGCGCCGTACTGTCAGGCTCTAATTCGAACGAGTCGGAGGCGAGGGTCGCGGCTGGGTTGGCGAGGGGCGCGGCGGCTGGAGAGATGTCTGAAGGGGCCGATTGAGCGGGGCACGCAGTTGCGGGGCATGGGCGCGCTGGGTCAGCGCGCCGTGCGCGTGCGCGCCGAGAGGCCCTGCGTGAAGGGGCTCTCAAGGTGAACGAATTCGACCGGAGGAACTTGCTGGGCCGCGTCTGTCTGGATGTCAGAGCCCGCCGCTGGGCGCGCTGAAGTCGATGGCCGTTGGGGGGCCCCGTTCCGGCGGTTCACGCATCCCGAGCTTGCCCGCGCCCTCAAGGTCGCGGTGACCAACCTCGGGATCGCGGCGCCGCGCGGGGCGCGCTGCTCGGGGGCCTCCCGCGGCTGGCGGAGGGGGCCGCGAGACGCGGCGCCCGTCGAGCGTCGAGGGGGCTGGGGGGCCGGCGAGCCCGCGGCGATTCAAGAAGCACGCGCTGCTGAGCAAGACCTGGGAGAGGTGGAACGCCGCAATCGCGGCGCGCGCCGTGCTGTGCGAGGATCTGCCGTGGGAGATATTTTTGGATGGCCGCGCGGCGCCCGTTGCCCGATGAATGCGGGGGGGCGGTCCAGTTGGATATCGGTTTGGGGGCGTCGCAGTCGCGTGATCGGGGGGGCTTTGCGGCCGTCTGTTTTCAAAGTCAGATGCGTGGCTGGCGAGCGCTCCGAGCCAGTGGTTGCCGCCTCTTTGGTGTCAGACCTTCAGACAGGGCGCGTGTTGTGCGTGCTGCTGGAGTCGGGTTTCAGCTCTGTGTATGTGCCGGGCGTCAACCGAGTTCGCGATGCTGCGGCGAAGCTGGGGGCGCCTTTCTCGCTTGTGCGTTGCGATTGCGACGCCGCTTTCAGGCGCCAGCTGGAGCGGATCACATCCCGTACTGACGTCCGTGTGAGCAATATTCTGAGTGCCTTCGGTGGCAATCGCCGCCTGCCCGTGGCGGCTAGGTGCTGGGTTGCGGGGTCCAGTCTCGGGGCCTAGACGGGCGTCGCGCGGTGGCCCCCCGTCGCCGGCGCCACCCTGGAGCC